AATTGAGCAGTTTTTAACTCCAAATTGTGCTAACTGCTATTACTTATATAACGACGTTGGTTGTAGGGTGATTAGTAAGTAGTCAGCTAATGGTATTCCTGGAGATTAGGTAGGAAGAGGAAATAATATGGTCTATCAGGATAGAGAAGAAGAGGAAATCCATGTATTATGAAGTTTAGAACAAAACTCCAAGAGTCTAGAAGTCACGACTTGAGCAGCAGAAAAAGAGGAGAGTATGGCACTGAAAGTCAAGGTCTAATATTTATATGAGGTCAAGAGAACATTTACCCCCTTTATTTTCTCCTTACTCCATGCAGAGTAAGCCAAAGATGTGGGAGATTCCCAGGAAGCCAAGGACTCAATGGAGAATGTGCTAGTGCTAGTAGAAGCTACCTAAGGATCGAAGAAAATACTTAAAGTGGTCCTTACCTCTGAGCAAAAGGAAGATAATATAAGAGATGGCACTGCTGCGATGCACACAGAGCAGGATGATGTTTTCAACTGAGAATAAAAGCTTTTAAATATCCACACATCTTAATATTCTGTATATAAGGTGACCATATATGTAAGTGTGTGTGTGTGTGTGTGTGTGTGTGTCTGTGTGTGTGTGTGTGTGTGTGTGTGTGTGTGCCCCTGTTTGTCCGTTAAAGTTCTGGGTTGTACCTATTTTACCCAAGCTTATGGAAGATTGCATTAATGTCCCCAATTCTTCACCCTTCCTTCTACCTGTACCCTTTGCTATGTAATTTTGCTATGATCCCCTACTCTAGGTGGGACATACTTTCCCATCCCTTGACTCTAGGTTTGGCCATGGACTTGCTTTGGACAAGACATGACCCACACAGAAGCTTGAAATAGACTGGATATTTTAATGTTAGAAAATGAGGGCTCTCTCAATACCTGAGAGTTGATGGAAAAGCTATAGCTTCTACCTGAGACTTAACCCAGGGTTGGGGAAGGAACGGTTGACAGAAGAACCTGGAGGAAAACATCCAGCTTATTCAATAATTTTTCATGTAATGAAAAGACTAAAACAGGAAAATATTGCTTCCTTTGTCACCATCAAAAAGAAGAAAACTAAACAAAAGAGTGGGATTAGAGCAGAGAAAACACCAGATATATCTTATACGTTGGAAATACGTCCTGCTAAAACTATCTTTTTATTCCATAAGACAACTGGGAATACATTTCAAATTCACTCTTTTATCCTCAGTACTTGGTATAGGGCCTGTACATAGGGGTTGCTCAATAACTATGTGAGGATCACATACATTGATTGTTGGAAATCATCCTAGAAAGAATGTGTATTCATTTATGTATTTATTTAATAAACAATTGTTGAGAAATTACAATGTATCATGTCTTATGGCAAGTGCTAGGCACATAATGGTGAGAAAAATGAATAGATAAATCACAGGCCTGGTTGCAAAAAAAGACAGAATAAACAAAGTACAAAATAGTCAGATGATGCTAAGTGCTATGGAGAAAAGATACACCAAAGAAAATGGATGGGTTGAGATGGAAGTTTTCTGCAATTTAAAGAGGTAGTTAGGGAAAGTCTCACTGGGAAAAAAAGGGGGCATTTGAATAAATTTTTTAATGAGGTGAGAGTGTAGATAGTGTTCCAGGTAGAAGAAAGGGCAGGTGCAAAGGCCCTGAGGCAAGAGTGTGCCTGACGTGCTTCAGACCTAGCCAGGTGACTAGTGTGGTTGGAGCAGAATTAGGGAGAGAGAGAGACTGTTAAGTCACATGTTCAGGTAGATCAAGAAAGCTAGGTCTTGTTGGACCTTCTACACCATAGTTAAACTTCAGCTTTTATTTTAAGTAAGACAGAAACACAGTGATTTTGAGCAGAGAAGTGGGAGAATATGACATGTTTTAAGTGAATTCTTTCCAGCTATTGTGTTGAGACTATACTAGTGGGTGGAAAAGGCAGAAGTCAAGAGAAGAGACATACAGATCTCCAAATTAGAGATGATGGTGGCCCAAAAAAGGAACATTCCATGAAATAAGTTACCTAGAGAACTTGTAGAGAACTTGCATGTGTGTTTTTCACTAATTATTTTGAAGTTGAAAATTTTAGAGCAGATACATTTGAATAATTCTACTTTTAATGCTATTTCATAAAGTTAAAAATTGCCTCGTTCTTCCCACTCTGTAATGTTCTCTCTTCTTATAGACAGAATATTTAGATATGTAAACGTTCTATATACATACATGTGGTTTGAGTTACCTATACCTCAAATCAGGGATGTATGACTCATTCCTTTATTGTCTTCTAAGATAACTCTGAAAAAACATAAAATGTAAGCCCCAAGTAGTCATAAAATATCAGCGAGTTGCAAGATCCTTACCTAAAACTATGTATTTGCAGGACCAAGTCATCAAGAATTACTTCTAACTACCTTAAGGTCATGAGGGACAAGCATGAGAAAGGTATCCAAAACAGAAGGGAGTTCCAGTCTTAAGGTTAAATCTACCCATTTTGATTTTAAACCAGTCTCAATGATTTTCCTTTACAAAATAAAATGGAGAAACATCAAATAACAATGATAGTTGGGATAAAAATCACATTGTTTTAAAGACCTGCTATTGCAATTTATGCATATTCTGAGAGAGAGCATTGCATCCTGGGAAAAGCAAAGTGGAGCGTTGGAACTCCACAGGCCTATTTTCACATTCTAGCATCATCACTTTCTGCAGAGGTTTGAGCCAAACGCTTGATTCAGTTTTAGAGTTTCGTTTTTCCTCTCTAATATGGTACTAATAATATCTTCCTCAGGCCATTACTGTATGAGGATTAAATAAAAAAATAAATAATGCCTATAGAAGGGACTTACATGGCTCCTGGAATATGGCTTTTTTATTCATATTACCTTGCTCTCTGTAAAACAACAAAAAATTAATAATGTTAGGTATGGAGAAGTACTGAAGCAAAAAAGGGCATTGTTCTTCCCAAATCAAGTAAGACAGGAACTGAAAGAATCTGCTGCAGAAATAGCAATAAGAAATGTGGACTTGAGGCTCCTTTAGACTGCAAAAAGATTCTGATTTACCTAATTAAGATAACTGGACCTTAATTGACCTAAGGGAAACTCCCTGTGATAAAATTGTGAGAAAGCATAGATTTGTGCTGAATGCCTCTTAGAGAATGAAACCTGAGGGCATATTCAGACAATTGACAGTGTTATAATGGATTCTGATAGAAACTTTAATATAGAAACTTTGATATAACCACCGCAGAGAAAAGAAAATTGGACATTAGCATGCATGCCATTGTTATTATTATCTGCAGATTCTCTCTTATTGAAACAAGACAGTAGTTTTAAACTAGTACATATATCAATTTTTGTATGTCATTTATTAATCCTTATGTCTAAGTATTATTTATAATTTGTAAATGTTTCTAAGCCAGCAGATCCTAGCATTGATTTGAATTTTTTCATGAAATGATTGTAATTTGCATTCAATTCCCCAAATGCCCCCACTGTCTTGTCCTGGGAATATCCCTGTTGTGTAACATCCTAGAGGCAACATTGCAAGAGAGGTGTCTGAAAGTTTTTCTGTGCTCTAGTTGAGCATTGTGACATGCCCCCAACGCTATGTCAAACTAAGTGATTGTGACAAATAGGACTCTTCAAGTCCAGATTTGCTTGATGTGGCCCAATTCTCAGTTTTTCCCTTGCAATCACAGGGTTAATGTGCTGTTGTGTTTTTTTTTTTTGGGGGGGGTGGATTTCTTAAGAAAACTACAGAATTTGCTGCTACATCAAGAATCAACTTGGTTACTATTAAAATTATATTTTCCAGAGTTGCCATATACAAGCTTCTATTTTTCAGTTGGCTATACACAGATGTGGATCTAAAGGAGGAAGTGTATGACTTTCATCTTCTCTTGATAATTTTATGTTGATTACAAATTATATAGATGGAAGGAATGTGAAATAAAGTATAATGAAGGCCAAGAAAAGAGGGGGAGAGTATAGTTCAGTGGCTGAGAAAACCAATTTTGGAATCAGAAAGACGTGTTCAAATCAGAGTTTTTCAGCTTCTTAGCAGTGTGACCTTTGGTGACTTAATTTCTCTAGATTCATTTCTTGATCTTAAAAGGATGCTTAATACTCATATATCACTAGGCTATTATAAAAATTAAATAAGAAAATATGTAAAAGTTCTTGTCACAATGTCTTGAACATGTAAGCATTCAATTATTGTATTTGTTCAATTATGTTATTACCTTTCTTTATAATAAGCACTCAAGTATTATTACTTAGTTGTTATGGTGGTTATTATTACCATAATTATTAAGAAAAGAAATAAAACAATTGATCTGTGATGTTCAATATTCACTCTTGGCTAATTTGAGCTCAGTTTTCCTCTGGCCCACTCTTTTACTAAGAATGAGGAGTGTGGTTATAGATTACAAAAAAATTGAGGAAAAATTTTCCCCGTTGTGCAAAAAAATAGAGCTTCAGGCTGATCTGAACAAAGAAGTTGGAACAATATCCTCCTCAGAGGATGGGTAAGCGAGTGATACAGGCATAGGCCACGCCTTATGGAGAAGACCCAACTACAGATTTCTGATTATTTCTAATGGTCCACAGCTCACTTGCTCCTGTTTCTTTCGGGGAGATGGGGGAGCACTTTTCTTGTCATATTGTGTCAGGTATGGACTTGGTAATGACATACGTGATTAAGCTTTTTTGTTTGTTTGTTTAAGGTCCTACGTCTCCACCCACCCCTAGGCACCTGATGAGTGAAAATGCTTCTGGGGGACAAAACCTTTTATGGCAAGAACAGTGATCTTTGCTCTAATTCCTAAGCCTCCATTTGTAAACTGGGCGGCAACTCACCTTAACGGGTATAGAACGTTGCTTTGGGATCGAATTCTGGGAGATTCTTAAGACCCCTGCCACAATCGAGGCTTCACTAGGGAGCCGTTAGCCGGCTGAGAGGCTCACCTTTGAAACCCATATTAAGAAAGAATATGGTGTAGCAAAATGGAGGAAGGCAAGAATGAGATGGAAGTGAGACACAGCGGGACTCCAGGTAACCCTACTGACCTGAGTCCCAGTAGCCACAGCTCCAACAGCTGTGATTTGCCGAAACTGTCTTCTCCGCCACTGTCGCAGCCACGGCAACAGCAGTTACCGTTGACTCGCGAAGCGGGGCCCGACGCCGAGAGCGGGGCTGGGGTGAAGACGCCAGAGGTGGTCATCGGGAACAAGTGTCATCGCTGTGTAAAACTCTTTGCCCTGGATGAAGAAAACCAGCTATGGTCTTATCTTGACACTGGATATGTCTGCTCCAGTTACGTGGACCATCTCCAGGGACTGTCCCTACTAGTTCAGTCGAAGTCCGATGGCTCACTGATCTTGGAGTCAAAGATACATCCAGAAACACTGTATAGGAGAAAAATGGGATTATTAATTGTTTGGTCTGAGGCTGAGAACCACGGAATGGCATTGAGTTTCCAGGACAAAGCAGCTTGTCAAGAGATCTGGGAAGACATTTGCCGTGTTCAAGGTGTAGACCCATCTGTCAACAACACACAAGAGCCCTTGGACATGTCAGAGGAAGAAGAATGTGATAAAATGTCAGAAACTGATCATCTGGTTAACCTTCCTAACTGTGAACTCAATAACCTTGAAGAGATTGCTGACTTAGTTACCGCAGCTTTCTATTCATCTACCGGCAAGGAAAGCTTAGCTCTGATATTGGACAAAGAGGACTATATTCAGAAACTACTGCAGCTGTTCCACACTTGTGAGACCCTAGGAGACACTGAAGGCTTATACCAATTGCATGAAATTATTAAAAGAATCTTATTGCTCAACAAGACATTTCTGTTTGAAACCATGTTTTCTGATGAGTGTATCATGAATGTGGTGGGATGCCTTGAATATGATCCTGCTTTGACCCAGCCAAAAAGGCATAGGGAATTCTTGACCCAACATGCAAAGTTCAAGGAAGTGGTGCCAATAACAAACTGTGAACTTAGGCAAAAAATACATCAGACGTACAGGGTACAATACATTCTCAACATCCTCTTGCCTGTACCATCCATATTTGAAGAACATTGTGTTTCTACTCTTAAATCTTTTATTTTCTTTAACAAAGTTAAGATAGTCCACATGCTGCAGACAGATAACGAGTTTTTGCCTCAAGTTCTTGCACAGTTAAAAGATAAGACCACAGATGATGATACGTGGCGTGAACTCATGTTGTTTTTCAAGGAATTCTGTTCATTTTCTCAAGTATTACAACCTGAAAACAAGAATGCACTGCTCAAAACATTGACAAAATTGGGAATTCTTCCTGCTCTTAAAATTGCAATGAGTCTAGATGATTTTCAAATAAGGTCAGCTGCTGCTGACATATTTGCTTATCTAGTGGTATATAGTCCATCAATGATCCGAGAATTCATAATAAATGAAGCCCAGTGGAATGAAGATTGTAACCTTTTCATTAATTTAATAATTAAACAAATGATCTGTGATACTGATCAGGAGCTAGGAAATGCTCTTAATTTAATGGGACTTCTTCATTCTCTACTTGATCCAGACAACATGCTGGCGGCACGTAATAACTATGAAAAATGTGAATTTTTACATTTCTTCTACAAACATTGTATGCATAACCTCACAGCACCGCTCTTGGCCGCCACTTCAGAAGGTACATGTGAAAAGGATGATATACTTGGAACTCACAAAAACAGCAAAAATTGCCTCAATAATTATCAAACAGCACAGCTGCTTAGCTTAATTTTAGAGCTGCTCACATTTTGTGTGCAACGTCACACATATTACATAAAAAACTATATTTTGAACAAAGACTTGCTAAAAAGAGTCTTGATCTTGATGAATTCGAAGCACACTTTTCTGATCTTGTGTGCACTTCGCTTTATGAGAAGTATAATTGGCATTAAAGATGAACTTTATAATCGTTACATCATCAAGGGAAATCTTTTACAGCCGGTTGTAAATGCTCTTTTGGGTAATGGAAATCGGTACAATATGTTGAATTCAGCTATTCTGGAACTATTTGAATACATAAGAGTGCAAAATATCAAGCCTCTTGTTAAACATATAGTTGAAAAGTTTTATAAAACACTTGAATGCATTGATTATGTTCAGACATTCAAAGGTTTGAAGATGAACTATGAACAAGAGAAAGACCGACAGAATCAAATAGAGAAGAAATTGAAAATTGTATTATATAAGAAAATATTTCACAGACGTTCCAGAGTCTTGGAAAAGAAAGAAATCTGTTATAAAGAAAATATAGGGGAAGAAGAAGCAGTTATGCAACCATTGGAAAATGGTTTTCAAGTTCATTCTGTGGAAAATGAAAAATCAAAAGAAGAGGAAAACAAGGCAGATCTTCCTAAAATAACAACTTCTGGTGGCTGCAAATTTATTTTCTCCCATTCTGTTAGTGCTACTAATGGAACAGGTAGCTCAACCGGTAGTAACATAGTGGACTTAGTGGATTATCTGGATGACAATGAAGAAGAAAGGGAAGATGAAACACCCCCCAGGAAAAGACCACATCTAAGCCCATAACATCTTAATGGAGACCCTCAACATCATTAAAGTCTACATTACTAAAATTCTGTAATCATCAATTAGCTGAAAAGTCTGAATCCAAAGCTTTCTCGTGTGAAATTATTAATATGCAATAAGTAGTAAATATGCTCAGTGTTAACATCTAAAAGAATTTAGTTTTGTGAAAACCAAACTTCTTAAATCTTAAAAAAAAAAAAAAGAAAAAAGAAAGCAACCTAACCAGAACTGACTGATAACATCTTAGCAAGAAAAGTCTTAGTTTTGGGGAAGGAAACAGGTTGATAATATAATATCAATATAGTTTTATATAGAAAACAAAGGTTTAACAAAAATTCAGCCTTTTAGGTAATTGGAGGGAAGTAATTTTCAGTGTGTATTTTCATGAATAAAAAAAGAAGCTGGATTCAAAATGTGCAGTTGTTAATGTAACTTTTTTTTTAGATAAGAGACGCCAAGAATCAGTCCGGTAGTATGCTAAAAGGGTGTCCTATAGGACCTTGGGAGTGGGTAGAACAGAGTACTTTCAACTGCCCAGGTTGTGGGAGGTACTTAGAAGTCATTTTTTGATTCATTATTAAAGGTGTGTCTGACTCCTGAGCAGCAGGTAAGTTTAAAAGTGTAATTTACAAAGACTAACATACAAAAATAGTGCTGAATGATGTGACTCTTAATATCTAAAAACCATTTTGGACCAAGAAAGTTATTAGGAGTCAAATTCCACACACCATACATGAAGTCTCTTTCTATAAACAAACAAACAAGGGTGTAATATAAAAGGCATTTTGCCAAAGAGTGAATGCAAATGAATTTCTAAAAATAAATTGCAGCAAATAAGAGTTTTTTTTTTTTTAGAGGAGCAAGTTAACTGGGTCCATTTATCTTGAATTAGCTCAAATTGAAGCCATTTCTCCTGTTTTGATGATTTTAGGGTTAATTTTAATTTTGACCATTGTTTGAACAAGACAGGCTGGGCTGTCTGTGTAGATATGAAGTATAGTTTTCCAGAAGATAGATATTTTGTTTGTATTAAGAATACCACTGTACTTCTTTTGTACCATTTAGTAATGATATTCACACTGAACTATACAATTCAGGAATTAAAAAGTGACCCTGACATTCCAAAAATAAAAGAGATCATTTTATTTTATTTTTATTTTTTGCCAGATGGCAGAATTTTATGGTTTTATTAAAACTCAATTTGCACACAAGCTGTCTATTCATCTTCTTAACTGCGCAGCCTGGCATTGGGATTGGTGACTGGTGGCAGCTGGGCTGCTCTTTCCACAAAGGCTTTGGTGTTTTTTGAGAAGATGCTGTGAGCAATCTCAGCACAGTAAGAGGTGTTGCCCATCAGCAGCACTTCAAGCTCCTTGACGCTGTGGACCAGGAACTCCTGAAAGCCACTGGGCAGTGTGTGCTCTGTTTTCTTGTTACTCATATAACCAGTGTTGGGCATCACAATCTGTCCTTTGAATCTTCTGCGCACCCTATTGTCAATGCCTCTAGGATTCCGCTATTTCTGCTTAATTTTGACATATTGGTCTGACTGGTGCCAGATAAACTTCTTGGTCCTCTTTTTGATGATCTTGGGCTTCATGAGTGGTCTGAGGGCAGCCATGATACCAAGTAGGAGATGGGTGCCACCTCCGTAGGCAGCGTTGAAGAAGAGCAAAAAAAGGACCATTTTAAATGTACTAGTGTGCCAATAAGAGACACATCGTATGCAAAACTAAAAGACTATCGTGTAAGAGCTACAAAAAAAGCCTATTCCTAAAATAACAAATAATCATTTTACCAGATGTAGCCTGCTAAAGTGTGGACATGACCTCAGGAGATATCATCAGACATTGCTGAGGACATGACACAGCAGGGGAACTGCATTTTCACATCTCTCAAACCATGCTAGTTAAATTAAATATTGTTAACGAGATTATTCAAAGTCAAGTGACTTTGTGAGTGTACGCGGATGTCAAAGAAGGCAGTTTGTTTAAAAAGCATTTCATGTTTTCCTTCTGGCTAGACTGTCATGGGGAGTGGTATCCATAGCACACACATTTACATGCATACACAGAATTTTGCTTTAAGAAAAATATACTTCACTCTTTATTTTGGTGGGAGTAGCCCCAGTTCCTGAACAGAGGCAGCTATTTACATCTAGACAGAGAAGAACAATTTTTTGATGCTCTTTCTTCTGGTCCCTTCAGCTAGTTTTAATCAGCCATAAAAAATGGACACTGTAGGAGAAAAAAAGTGAGTATTTGCATTTGTTGTTATATTGTCCCCAGCGAGTTTGTAAGGCAAGACAAGAGAGGGCATAAGGGTAATGGGAAGTTAAAAAAAGAGGGACGAGGGGAGACAGGCATCCTATTGAGCTGTGTCACCTCTATGAGCCCTTCTCTAGCCTCAGCTACTTAATGTTAGGGAAACAACATGACAAGCAAAACGGTGCAAAGCCAAATTGCCCATCAGATGGCATAGCCTACCATTAAGGGAACATTTAAAAGGGCAACAAAGCACAGAAGAGCAATCCTTACTGTCTACACACTGAGTGAAAACTTGACAAAAATGTTCAGCCTCTCGAGATACTGTGTGTGAGAAGGTACCATGTCAAAAATGTTTAATTTCCTCTTTAAGTTTTTTAGAAGTAATTTAAAAAGGTCCCTCAAGTGGGTTATTTATGAAATGAAGAAACAATTTGGAAGGCCCTGTATTTACAATAACATTCACGGAAGCATTTTTGGAGAGGTGCTCTGGGTTTGTCAAGGTTTTGGCTTTTAATACATGACTTCCGGTAATTTTTATGGCTTTGTGACTTTCTAAGAACACCAGCAAGGGGAGTATGATATAACAAATAAAATAAAAGCTTCATATTCAGACAGCCCTTGATAACAATGCAGGCTCTGACTTTTACCAATTCCATGACTTTAGACAAGTTCCTGATGTTTTCCTCTGGCCACAATTTGTGCATCTTGTCTTAAAAATTAGAAACTACATGTAAATTACCAAGAATATAGCTAGTACTCAATAACTACCTTTTAAAACTGATTATCATCAGCGCCAACAGTATAATCATTTCCAAGAAATGGGGAGTAAAGCCAGGTATAAGCACTTATACCACAAGTTATGCTCATAAATCAATAATCCTATATTCTGGATTAAATTGATAGCAACATGAGAAATAGAAATTCATGACTTCAATTGTGGTTGGCAGACAAGTCTACATGTATGCATCATGCCCTGCTGAGACACAAGTAAAATAAACAGCATAGAAGTAGTAAAAGAAACCTTTATAGCAATGAAGACACTTGGGGGCGTGGTGTCTGGGGTATTAACCAAGGAATGAGAGCTGTCAGGGGTGAAGAGTGAAATTGAAACTTGAAGAGTCAGAGTGAATGTGGGAGAGCATCGAAGGTTTGTAAAAGTGACAAGAGCCCTTAAGCCCTATCCCTAGTCTAGTGTCAGCTACTTAATGTTAGTAACCCCCCACCCCCAAACCCCACCCCAGAAAGCAGAGCCATCAACTGCTATGTATCTCTATATAACAGATCAAAAGCCCCTTCCCTAAATCAATTGAAATAACAGGCAAAGCTGAAGGCCTTGGTATGGATGTTGCTGTCTCAGAGTTAAGCCCTTCTTTTTAGGGTATTGGAGGATCCAAGATGCTGAATAGTTTAACACCCTAAAATGTAAGTCACTGTGTTTTCAAGCGAGAGACTTGTTAATGCCTGTCTCCCACCCAAGAAGTACAATCTCAAGACCACAAATGGTGCCCTGGAAAGAAAGTCTTTACAATTAATTGGCAGGCCCATGAGTTACCTACATCACGCAGGGAACACAGGTTGAGAATGCTAGCAGGTAAACCTTAAGGTTCTCAGTTCACTTAAAAAAACGGCCTAGATCTTGTTTTGGAGGGTCTGCTAAACACAGCCAATCCAAGCTTGTTTGTCCATGCCACCAGCATGGAGGTGTGACCTTAGTTCGCACCAATGGAATGTCTGAGATTGAGGGTGGTGATGACATCCAGAGGGTGTGTGTGTGTGTGTGTGTGTGTGTGTGTGTGTGTGTGTGTGTATTGTATGGCTGAGACCATCCCCTGCTTTTCCTGATTGAAATCTTGATCTCTCAGGTTCAAGGGAAAGGTGGTCAGAGCTATCTGGCTGGGGATGGCAGACCTAACAGTCAGTTAAAGTCAAGGTGATTGCAGCAGTTTGAGGGAACCACACCGGAATGTTTTCCTTAGGGAGAAAGGCTTCAGAGGTAGATCTGAAATACAAATGTCAATGATGTCCCTTCTTCTCCTGTACGACCCTAGGTGCTGGGTTGTTACTCTCCCTCCGCCTCCGTAATACTTGAGTGTCACTTTCCAGTAATTATAACTTTGTCCTCTTTTTCAGTCATCCCCTACTCTCAACCAAACTTTTTATCTAGAACGATCAGGTGTGAGAGAGACAGGGACAATTTTATAAAACCAGAATTAAATTTGAATCACGTAGGTCCCGTTTTTTTTTAGGCTTCCACCAGACAGTATACCAACCAGGCTGGCCTGGGGACAGAAATATGTCCAGGAATGGTCAAGACAGAATCCTACATTTTCAAAAGTGGTCTATACAATTTCACATCCCTCTAGTCTTGATTCAATGACCAAATTACCTTACTCTGATGTGGGCTTCTCAACTACACTACTGTTGACATTTTGGGCCTGGTCATTTATTGTTTCAGGAGGCTGTCCTGTGCATTGTAGGATTCTTAGCAGCATCCCTGACATCTACCCACTATATGCCAGCAGCACACCCCCAAAGGTGATAACCAAAAATGTGTCCAGAAGAAGCTAAATATCCGTCAAGGGGGCAAAATCACCCTCAATTGTGAACCACTAGTCTAAGCCACTAGTCTAGGGAGTTTAATTCAAGGGCTTCTCTTACTTTGTGGATATTGGGTCCACAGCTACTAGGTTGAGTCATCTTTTCCTTGTACCCTTAACCTAAAAGGGCCAAGTT